AGAGAGAGAGAGAGCCGGGAATAAATAAAGAACTGGTACTCTCCCCGAACGGATTGGATTCGCCGGAGTCACATCCGATTGTGATAGCGGGTTGAAAGCGAGTCGAAAGGGAGGTTGAAAGCGACGGTAGCGTGAAGGTGGTGTAGTGGCGGAGATCGGTGCTTTCGAGACGCGCCGATTGAATTAAGCACAGCCACACCACCTGTCGACTCCAGATATTTTCATTGGCGGCATGCTAATTGCCAATTAAGCTATACCGATTCAGCCGATCCCGGCCCGAACATCCACTTTACATTTACGTCTCTCTTCTTCGGGCGCTGCGCCGAGGCTGCCGAACGGCGACGTCTACTCATCGCGTTTAACTAAACGAATGGCGGCGGGCGGCAAGCAAGTTGCGGAGAACACGCGAACCTGTTCCGGGCCATAAGAGAGGCATTAATCTATCGCGCACTGTTGCATGACAATGGTATCAAAATAAATTTCGTGTATTATCGCCCCATGACACGCAGTAAAAATACTTTTTCATCTGACTCTCTTTATTTATTTATTTCGACCGGATTGACGAGTCGGAAAAAGATGCAAAAATATACGTGGACGTGAATTTTTCGAACGTAATGATAAAAAAGATGTAAGATAGAGAAAAATAATAGATAATAATAGAGATATTATGATGATAATAATAGAGTAATATTATTTCACTATTATGGCTAATAAATTATTACGATAACAAAAATTAAAAATGACGAGTAAAAGAAGGTTTAAGTGTGAAAAACTGAAAAAAACATCAGCGTCTAGAATAGAAACAAAATGACTGATTCCAGCTGTAGGTTTCGTACTAATGTAACAATAATGTATAAAAATTAATTCTACGCCGAAATAAAAATGATAAATGAAGCGTATGTCTTTTGCATCTAAATACGATCATACTATATTAAAAAAAGAATTGGAATTGATGCTGACATGCCTTTTTTTCCTTTCTTCGAGGGGAAAATATTGATCTTTAAGGGAGTGGCATCGGAAACTCCCTCCGGCGCTGTAACTGCGAGTTGCATAATACTTGTCAAAATGTTATGATACTAAAAGCCCTTTCCGCTAGATGCGGTCGTTACAAGAGCGGACGCACGGTGCGAAAATCCGCGTCTGGACCGCCGGGAATATTCGACATTATCCGATAATGTATGTATCGTCAAGAGCACATTACTGCCTGGCTTCCTGGAGTGTCTGCTAAACTACATCCGAACGGAGCAGAGGCAAGGAGCCCGCCCCGCAGGGAATCGCCATTTATTAATCACGGACGTAATGAATGAAACGCCAAATCGATAGGAATAGGTACGTCACGTGTAATTATGAAAATTAAGTTGTCTCCATAAATCGCTGTTTTACACCGCGTGGCCCGATGCATCGATCGTCGGTACAGTTAATTAATAATTGTTGAGTAATAGTTATTAATCGCGTGCCAATTTGATGATTAAAATTAAATTCTTGTGGAATCCATATTTAATATTAGACCGCTCGGCTGTCGGTTGAATTTCCATGTCCATAAAGTTACAATATTATATATACGCTATCGATTCTATTGACATATCCTTTAGGATATGAAATGTAGTGGGATGTAGGTCAGTCCATTCATCTCAACTTACCTCATCTCACCTATATCAAAATGTAATAAAAATATCTAACATTTCATTCGAACCGCTGGAAAGTTGAGAGTAATCTTGATATTTTAAAATTAAGATATCACATGTAGTTTTCGTTGATTGTATAAAATTCGGATATTCTTGAAATAGAACGAGTTTGATTTAAGCAATTGTTTATGACCGAATATATCCGAACTCAAGTTGGACCAAACTGTTAAATCTGATCATGTTATTTCTTTTCCATGTTAAACTCATATTCATTATGGGATATTTTTGAGGTATTTTGGTCCAAAACCATGTTATCGATATACGAATAATAATATTTGATGCACTTCTTTGATGTAATTTCTGCGCATGTAGGACGTACGTTCCAGAGTTCATCGTACTCGCGTTCAGATTCGAATGGGAGTACCTCGGTCACGTCGAACGTTCTGGAAACTTCCACTAGCCAATGCCAGGACGGCTCGAATCGTGATAGTTAGGTACGCACGGCCCCCCTGGGGGGCCCGACATTATCGATAATCTGGAATCGGAGTTGTAACTTCCGCGCGTTGGCTCGCGTATACGCCAACGCGCGGCGCACTTTAGAGTCGGCGTTGTCTCCAGCGCCGTTGACGTGCGGTCCTAATTAATTTCACGTAGTTCATTAACGAACCCCGGCCGCAATGCTTAACGACGTTTTGGCGTCTCCGCGTATCGGGAGCTCCGCAGCGTATTCCCAGAACGGGCGAAAACTCCGTTATACTCGCTGATTAGCCGTGCAAACGTTGCCACGTGCAATATGCGTATGTTTCGAGTTAGATAACAATAGATAGTAGGAAATAGTTCTAAAAACTATCACAATTGTCATTATATGTGAAAATTTGCTTTATATTCTATAAAAGAGAAAATACTACGTGTATGTGTGTGTGTGTGTGTGTGTGTGTGTGTGTGTGTGTGTGTGTGTGTGTGTGTGTGTGTGTGTGTGTGTGTATTTGTTATTACATACTGTATGTAATAAATGTAATAGTCATCATGAAAAAAATATAAAATACTATAATACTACATAAAAACTACAACAAGAAACAATAACATAATATAACAAAAAAATATCAAGTAATTGATCGTAAATCAACAAGCACTTTACACGTCAATATCACGTTATATATCGTCAAAATTACCTCGATATATTTTTATTTTTTATTTATTTTTTTTTTGCAATACATAGAAATATTTACAACCTCATGGCGATAGTTGGATCGTCAATATTTTACTTAGAGATAATCCTCTCGCAGTTCTTGCACTCATCTATTATTCTATCACAAGTATTGTACCCTCGCCCCAGTTTTTCGATTATCTCCCTCTACACACTAGGCGGACAGCTCTCGCTTTTCCCTCTGTAAATGAAAAATAAGCGAAATCCCTGATCGGAATCCGTGCTGCTTAGGAAAGATTCTCGCCACGTCGGCGGAACTTGAAGCTTTTTCGAGCGTCTGAGTGCCGGCGAGGACGAATTCCCGACAGATGTTACCACGGTTGCTTACGACCCGCCCCTGCAGAACCTAATATAACCGAAATTAACCATGGTGAGCGGCGCGTCGAATCAGATTTTTCTCATCCTTTGTTTTCGCTGTTCCGCTTTCCCTTCGCCATCTTGCGCCATGGAGTTGTACCGTCCGAGAACGTTCCGAAACGTTATCTTTCTCTCTGTGCGAGTATTTATTTTTTTTTTTAAATTATTACTTGTCCATTTCACTCTCTCTCTCTCTCTCTCTCTCTCTCTCTCTCTCTCTCCTCTCTCTCTCTCTCTCTCTCTCTCTCTCTCTCTCTCTCTCCCTTCCCTCCCTCCTCTCTTCTCTCTCTCTCTCTCTCTCTCTCTCTCTCTATCTCTCTTTCTCTCTTTTTTTGACGAATGGGAAGCGAAGAGCGCGGCATGTTGCACCCTTTAATCCCTTCGTTGCTGGCGTCCATTTTAATGGAATACACATTCAATTTTGCTAGAATTTATAATATGTATTTTCGAAAGAGGAAATAACATTTAATTCCCATGGTGCTTCATACTTTTATCTTGCCGTTATGACTCATATTATTACGTTGCGTACATTTATATACATATGTAATGTGAATCATGAAACCGCAAGCTTTCTATCTCTAACTCACATTTCGCTTGCTCCTATATATAATATTCTATTTTTTAAAATATAGTCCAATATTTCTCGTCTCTTGTGACATCAATGTATCAAATTCTCATACAAGTCCTGCTGTTAAAATTTTCTTTGGCTGTCCTTATTTATAATTTTTGAAGCGTGCAAGTGAATCTACTCACAGTTTTAATATGTATATGTACTATTGATATATCACAAACACATATAAATATATAATATCAATTACAATTCAGAAAGTAAAGGGGGAACAGAATCTGTATCTTTTCCTTATCTTTTCCTTTTTGTTTTTCTTATTACGTTTCTTCCGGCACGTGCATTTCGCCAGCGACAGCGTTTGTCATGTTGCCACTCACGTCTTTAGACATTTCTTTAAATATATCATTATTCATGAAGTTATGTGTGTAAAGAAACATAATAAAATTGTTTTTAAATGTATTTTTAGGATTATATAATCTGTCAAATAAATTTTCTTATTTTGTATTTTATTCTGTGTTTTATTTATTGTATGTAATCAGAGTTTTTAAAATAGACATAACATTTCCTTATTTTTTTGTTATATTTATATATTCAAGCTATTATTTACAAAAGAAAAACTTGGTTTACAGATAAAAATAAAATGCAGATAGAAGTTAAAATATAAATTTATGAGAAATAAAAATAAATGTTACAGAAAAATAAATAAAAAATAAAATCAAAGAATATAACGTTTTATCAGAACTATAGCATAATTTATTTTAAAATAACAACTCAGAAAATAAAAGTAAAAGTGAATGAGCTCATACGAGCCACCGCAATAATATAAATAAAAAAAGCCAATAACGAGCAGTAGAAAATAATTCGAAAATAAAGTTCAAGTATTAAAATAAAAATATTGAAAGAAATACAGAATATTATTCAGGATTATTTTTGTCATATTTTGTCATATTATTAATAAGTGGAATATAAAATATTGCAGTAAGACATGACATTGTAAAAAATAAAGATATAAAGATAAGTGACTAAAATAGAGATTAATCTAGAAATATATAAGGCAAAGGAAAGATGATACAATAATATTAGTATTTATCGACATTACCAACAGTATTACGTATTCACAGAGTTACGAAAATTGGCCTATATAATAATTGTATGATAAGCATAATGATTAAAGCGCGAAGCGACTGACAATTGGGAAGCAGAATGATGATTTCCCGTGTTGGGTTTTGTGAAATCTAACCGTTGTAAACTCGAGTAGGTTAACACAAGTAACAGAGATTCTGGAGACAAGTTTGATAAGAGCGAGGCAACGAATTGAATGCAAATGTATGTATTCAGACTCTAACTAGAAAATTAAATATTAGCATAGGAGAATTAAACGAATGATTGTAATGATAGGTCGTAATGATCATGGCTATCTTTTTAATATTATTTTTTAAAATTATCTTTTAAATTTCTATTTTCTGTTCTATTCAATAATTAGAATAAATTTTTAATGATTACTCACTCTTTGAGAGTGAACAGAAAATTGACATTTAAAAAAATAGTTAAAAAAAATAATTAAAAATATAGTATGCATAATTCTATTATACATACATGTGCGTAACAAAAAAAGTACATTAGAAGAATTATTTTATTACTTCTAAATTGCAGAGTGTTAACTTTATTAAAATATTATAATCCATTTATGCCGCTGATCGAAGCGCTCGTCTGTCTGGCGTACTCGCTTCCACGTCACGTCGTGCGAGATTTGAATGACTTTTCGTCGTGAGAGATTGCGAGCTACGAGAGAGATTGCGAGCTACGCATTTTCAAGAGATCGAAGCTCGGCTCAGTCGGCACATTCCTAGTTCCTTAACAGAATATAGCAGTTGGCAAGTAGGACTTTCGACTGAGCGAAAGCGCACACTCCATACTACTAACGCGCGTGCTAATTCACTTCCGCGTCGTCTTCCTCGATGAGTTCCCATACTATACGTGCTTCGACCTCAGCCGTTTCAATTCCCCGTTATATTGGCTTGCATGGGTAAAACAAAAAGTTTTGCCAGCAGATCTTAAGAAAATGATAGAAGATATGAGACAGTAAATTAGAAAATATTCCTGGTATAATCCGCTGAATCCTTAATTTCCGTTTTTATTTAATAATTAAAAGTAAAGCTGAAAATGTGTGAAACTTCATCGTTTAGCGTATACAATATTTCGATATAATTTATTTACTTGCGAACGCGAACGCGAACGTTATACGAACGATGTGTAGACTCACGTTGCAAGGCGCCACTGTTTCCGGATGATTTACTGTACATATCGAGGTAAATCGACGTAATAGATAAAAAAGATAATTTTACTGAAATTCCTGGATGATTTGCAGGAGGAAAGATCCGAGAATCGAACCGTCAGCACGGTGGAGTTCGAACCGGGTGTGGAGGATCATGGGAAATCTATCACCTGCCGAGCAGAGAATCCAAACGTGACCGGACTCTTCGTCGAAAAGTCCTGGAAGATCGACGTCGTATGTGAGTACACATTACATTTTTCCTTAACGTTCCAATTTCTCGTGGAACCGTAAACTCGCTCACGGCCGACAGATCGCGAAACTGATCGCGGTAAATCGAATACGACACCATGACGAATGGTACATTACGGCATTTATCGATTTCAAC